TGTACCACTGCTGCAGTTTGAATTGGGAGTATTCCCCCCAAAGGTCGGGGATTCAAGGCTTGGTCCCCAGCCTGTGATGCTACTGGAAAGTAGTGTAATTTTAAGAGGCAGGGCCTACTGGGAGGTTTGAAGTCACTAGGGAGGTACCCTCAGAGGGAATTGTGGGACCATGTCTTCTCTCTCTCTTCCCATCCCAGCTCTGAGGTGAGCAGCTTCATTCCACGGTGTGTTCCTGTCATGATATGCCACCTCACCACAGGCCCCAAAGCAACAGGGCTAACTGACCATGAACTGAAACTTTCAAAACTGTGAACCCAAATAAACCTTTTCTCTCTGAAAGTTGATTACCCCCAGGTATTTTGTTATAGGGGGAAAAACAAAAGCTGATAACACAGTTACATCAAGGTGAAGAACAATGGTGGGAACAAAGGTTAGAATGCATGTGGGAGCAGGCCAGGGTTATGTCTCAGGCCAATGGACCGAGAGCCACTTGGGCCCTCAAAAGGGCTCTGTAACAGCCCTTTTGCCAGAACTACCAAGGGGCTGAGGGAGAGGTACCTCACACCCTCGACCCCTCCACGGCCTGAAGGCCTCATACAAGGCTCCACCTCCCAAAGGGCTTACCCCCTTCCAACAGCACCACCCTGGGGACCAAGCCATTCTTCACAGCAGATCCTTGGGGGACACAAATCATATCATACCATAACAATGTCTGAGGAGAGAGCAGGCAGGACAGAGAGAGTAGTCAATTGAGAGGGACGAATTTGTCAGTCGTGTTTGCCTGTATTTGGGGAAGACAGGCAAAGCCAAATTCTTTGTCTGATTTTTATTCTGTTTGGAATCATTTGCAAGTGCCTGGCATCTTACACGGAACCAGAATAGAAGTGGGTGTTCTATTTATTTATTCACTCATCTATTTGTTTAATTGTGCTTTTGTGAATTCTGTTGCGGGCTCTCTCAGGTCCTGTGGAATGTTTATTAGGCCCTAATAGCGTCAGCACAATGGATTTTCATTTACAGGGCACAGGCAAACACCGCTGGAAGGCAGGAAATCACTGTAGACTATTTCACTTAGGTTGTTTGGTGCTTCACCTTAAAATCACAACTGTGTTCCTAATGCAGAGCATGTAGTGGCCTGCCATTCGTCCCCAGCACCTTTGACCTCAGAATGTGATTTCTGTGGCATTCTGTGCTCTGAATACTGCTGGCAAAATCTCCAGCATCACAGGAGAGGTAACATTTCTGCTAGGCTTTACTTTTACAGATAGAAGGTAGATAACCATTTGGTTAAGATAGACAATAATTCAATCTAAGTTAAAGTTTCGGACTCTGTCTACATTCTCTGGGTCAGCGCTTCTCCGACAGAAATAAAAGACAGGCACATAGGTAAATTGAAATTTCTAGTCCACATGAAAACAAAAATTTAAAAAGTTAAATTTAATTTAAACATGTTTAATTTAACTCAGTACATCTGAGATGTTTTCATTTCAACATTAATTCAATATTTAAATATTATGAATGTGAGACATTTGGCATTTTTTTTGTTCAGAGTCTTCAAAATCAACATGTATTTTATTCTCATAGCACTGAACTCAGATGCAAAATATTCATGGGAAATACTTGGCCTGTATTCAGATTCCATAAAATTCAGAGTTGAAAAAATAGGCTCACCTACTCTAAAAGTTCCAGTGTTACTTAATTTTCCAGTGTATCAAGTATCACTTTATGAATTTGTAATTAAATTGAGTATAGTTAATAAAGTTGAAAATTTAGTTCTTCAGTTGGACTGGTCACCTTTTAAGTGTTTGAAAGCTCCGTATTGCTGCTGCTAGTAGCAGCTATATCTGACAGCACAGCTGTAGATTCTTCTTAAAACCGTACATTTGCATAGTGTTTTCCCATTTCCTAAGTGCCTCTTTTGTTTTTTCTCAAGTTATTGTTGGTTCACACCAGCAAGTCCGTATCAGAAAGTGTTTTTATCAGATTAGATTCATTCATCAAGGAAAAGTAGCTGGGATATTTGTACTCCATCTCCAAGGCCAGGAAATGCCTTCTTGCACATGGTAGGTGTTTAAGAAATGTTTTTCCTTCCTAAATCCTATGTAGTCCTCAAATTTCATTGTCTCAGGAGAGCCTTTCCAGACTGCAGCCCGGCACCTGTCCTTTGTTAACAACCGAGATATTTTCTCCCAGAACATACATATTTACATACTGATCTGAGTTAATTTTGTGATTAACATCCATCTCCCCCAATAGACTGCATACTATACTGAAGAGGAAAATAGTTTTTGTTGACTAACTGTCCTTGCATCCCTGCTTCTAGCATAATGCATGGCGCGTGGTAAGTATGGAATGTGTATTGGTTGATAATAGCACTATAAAAAGGGCTATTTATGACATGAAGTGATTAGCAAAGTATCTAATTCTTAACTTTGCTAAAGGTGCAGTTTGGTTCAGGTCAGGAAAACAGGACTGTTTTAAGGATTATATACAGAATGGGAAAATAAACAAGGAGAGAAATGAATTACAGTAGATGGGGTAGAGAGAGAAGATGGGAGGGGAGGGGAGGGAGGATAGTAGAGGATAGGAAAGGTAGCAGAATACAACAGTCACTAATATGGCATTATGTAAAACTGTGGATGTGTAACCGATGTGATTCTGCAATCTGTATTTGGGGTAAAAATGGGAGTTTATAACCCACTTGAATCTAATATATGAAATATGGTATGTCAAGAGCTTTGTAATGTTTTGAACAACCAATAAAAAAAGAAAAAAAATAAATTTGAGCCTAAAAAAAAAAAAAGGTTATATACAGTAAAAGATGTGCATGTTCGTAACTTTTGTTCAAGCCTTCCCAAAGTATGCATGCAAGAGTGCCTTTCTTTGGTTTTCTCTCTACTTCATTGGTATTTGTTTCATTGAACTATTTATTTATCACCTTGGTGTTTCAGCTTATAATTTAAGGTACATTGAAGATGTCTTCCCCCTGCCTCAACACCCAAAGGAAAATTGAATTGTAAAAATACTTTTTAAGGTGCTGAGAAAGGCATGGAGTGAAGACAAATGTGCCTGGAGGGAGGCACCTCTTGGTATTTCAGGACAATTTAAAATAAACCCACCCCTTTAATTATACCAGAGTAATGAGCCTTACCCACAGTATGTGAAGATATAATTAAAAATGTATTGTGGACCAGCAGACCAGGTTGTCAGGTCATTATCTGAATTATAAAGTTGGAAGTAATGCTCATTAAAGGTTACTAGTTTGGAAAGGTTAGGTTAGAATTTAGAGGCTTTGCAAATACGAAGTTTTTCCATTTGAATTATGCTTCAGAAAGCCTCTAGCCTTTAGCCCTTTCTTGTAACTTTTTGTAAAATGGCAATGCACTTACAGAAATGTGCACATAGCAGCCTAGCTTGATGAATTTTTCCCATTCAATGAACGAACCAGTTCATTGCTGTGACCAGTATCCCTGAAGCTACTCTCCTTCATCTTCATCTTCCACCCCTGCCCCCACTACCATCCTGACACACAATGTTTTTTCCTGTTTTTGTACTTTATGTAAATGGAATCATGCAGTATCCTCATTTAACCTACTATAATATAATACATTATCTGTCTAAGTGACATTCCTGATAGCAGGAATTGAAAACAAGGTCTGTTTTTTAGTTTCCCTTGTTATGTATCTAATTGATAAACTGGCAGTTTACTGCTATTTCTAGGTCCTTACTGTTCCTTTGAGAAATTTCCTCTCTAAATGCAGGTGTGTGAGTGTGCACCTGTGTGTGTTCATATGTGTATGCTTTTAAAATGGTTAGTCAATTATATCATGCCATGCCCTGCATGTTAGTGACTTTTCAGTGGTATGTCTTGATGTCCTTTCCATGTGGGTGCACACAGTTCCTCTTCATGTTTCCTAATGGTGGCATTAAATAGATGTATCATAACTTAATGAGCCAGTTGTCCACTGACTATCAGGTCATTACCAGGTTTTTCTGGTTGTAGAATGATAGCATCAAAATGAGTTTATCAGTAAAATGAATTCTTGGAAGTGAAATTGCTGAGCAGTAGAGTTTGATGTATTTTGAATTTGCTCAGATATTTGCAAATGGTCTCCCAAAGAGTTCTGTCAGTTTTTACCTGCAAGATTTGAGTATTCTTATTTCCAGCGTCCTTGCCTTAGATTATATGTTCTCAAGCTTGTTCATCTTGGTATTCTGATCTATGAGAACCAGTCAGTTATTTTACTTAGATTGCATTTTGTTTAGTTTCCTATGAGGTAAGTTAATTGTGTTTATTGGGCACTTATGTTTCTCTTGGCACTTGTTCCTGTCCTTTGCTCATGTTCCTGTAGCTTGTTCTTTTCTTAATGATTTCAGGGATTGCTTTCTAGATAAAGGAAAATTGTCCTTTTATGTCAACTGTGATGGTAATTTATTTTCTCATTGTTACCATATTTATAGTAATTTTTTTTCTTAAACAGAAGGTTTTCGTTTTTATGTAGTTTATGTATGTTATTTTTTTTCCTTAGTGGCTTCTGAATTATAAGTGTTTAGTGGGGAAAAAAGCAGTGGAAGGCTGGGGTTGTGGCTCAGTGGTAGAGTGTTCACCTAGCATGTTCGAGGTGCTGGGTTCAATCCTCAGCACCACATAAAAATAAATAAATTAAATAAAGGTATTGTGCCCAACTACAACAAAAAAAAAAAAAAGAAAAAGAAAAAGAAAAAGCCATTGGAAACCTGAGACAGACAGCTTTGGCTTGGCATGGGGAAAATAATTCTTAATAAATGTTTATGGGGAATGTGGTTAAGTAGGAATTCAAATTAGAGTCAGAAGTAGTGGGATTGACTGTGAATATAAACAAAAATTTGTACATAATTTGCCAACATTTGTTTAAAATTTTGAACAGCTTTTGGAAGAACTTTCAATGTTATGATAGTTTCCTTTTATGCTTTGTTATTTGAGGTTTTAATTTCTCAAATGATTCCTTTTTGTTTTTTAGATTGCAAATTATAAACTATTTCCTGCACCATTGCTGACGCCCAGTGATCCATGTCAGAAGTACTTCCAGGTTAGATACATTTTCACATATTTCAATACAGAGAAGTAGTTCAATATTAAACCCTTATAAAACATGAGACAATTATTTTAATGTTAAACTCATAATTTGCTAAAACAACATGCTTCTGGTTTTCATTGTTTTTTGCTAATGGAAGAATGAATATCCAAATAAGGTAGAAGGATCAATGGAACTTAATCATATTTGTGTAATAATTGCACAAGCCATCATGTAAAAATATTTTGGTTGACTATGACAAGAAATTAAAACTGAAATTGTACCATCTAGCACTGTGAATTATAGCCTGTGAGCTTTTGAAATATGAACAAAGCAATAGGTGTTGGCATTGAATCTTGGTTTGCTTCTTATATTGTGAAGTTTGTCTAGAATAGAATCCCCCAATTAGTATTCTCCTTGAACATAATGCTGATTAATTTCAGGTCTTCAGAAAAAAAAAAAACTAATTTTATTGTATGTCCCTTTTTTTTGTCTCATGATAGCTGCTAGTCTAGACCCAATATAGTGTGGGATTTAATTCATAGACTCATGGAAACATAATAAGGAAAAAAACAATTGCAGTAGCATTTCAAACTGAACATAATATAAGATTACATGTGTAGATCTGTTCATTCCATTTTTCTTAGGAAACATACCATTCAGCAAGTTCTCATTTTAAATAAGTGCACTTAACCAAGGATAAAAAGATATTAATTTCCTTACATTCTAAAGTGAAATTTATTAAATATGTTCAAATCCTTTTCTCCTTTACATAACACTTTGTGTGTTACACTTCAACAAAGAAGTAAACAATAATAATAGTGAAATAAACATTAAGTTCAGCACAGGCATAGGAGTGGCAAGAAATACCCTTTTTATTTAAAAAAAAAGTCAAAAAAATAATGACAAACCTAAGTTTATATAGAAAAATCAGGAACTTAAAGCTGATTCTTCATGCTGTGATGATTTGGGGAAAGGATAGGTTTTCTTTATAAATACATATTTGATTAGGTATTTTAATTTTAGAAACTCAAGACAAATATGTATGTCTTTTATTTATTTATTTGGGTAACAGGGTTGAACTCAGGGGCACTTGGCCACTGAGCCATATCCCCAGCTCTATTTTATATTTCATTTAGAGACAGGCTCTCCCTGAGTTGCTTAGCACCTCGATTTTGCTGAGGCTGGCTTTGAACTCACCATTCTCCTGCCTCAGCCTCCGAAGCCTCTGGGATTATAGGCATGCGCCACCACACCCAGCATATGTCCTTTTAAAAAATAGATTTTAGGGGGCTGGGGCTGGGGCTGGGGCTCAGTGGTAGCACACTTGCCTGGCATGTGTGATGCACTGGGTTCAATTCTCAGCACTGCATATAAATAAATAAAGGTCTACAACAACTAAAAACATTTTTTTAAAAAATAGATTTTAGGGGGCTGGGGCTGGGGCTGGGGCTCAGTGGTAGCACACTTGCCTGGCATGTGTGATGCACTGGGTTCAATTCTCAGCACTGCATATAAATAAATAAAGGTCTACAACAACTAAAAACATTTTTTTAAAAAATAGATTTTAGGAAGAAAACGTGCAATCGAGTCCCCTATTGCACTGCAACAGTTCTGTTCCTGTTTCTATTCTTCAATAAATTCTACTGTTACACTAAAATAAAAAAAAAAAATAGATTTTAAATATTGAGAATAATTCTTTTTAGGAGTCCTTTAAAATCTTATATTATGTTGCAAATAGACTCAGTATTGAAGCATTAAGAGAGTAAGGCTGACAAATATATAAAATGATGTTTTTTTCCTCATATGGAAGGGAAGAATCAAATAACTTCCAGAAATTTCTTGCTGTGGCTGTATATTGTTAGGATGATGTGTTCATTCTTTCTGCAGAGATTCAGATTGCTTTGTTCCTTGGTAGTCGTATGAGATGCTGAAACAGTTATCCAACGTGATTTTTAAATAACAGCTGCTACTATCATACATTGATATAGAAGGTAACAGTTTTTACAAGGAAAACAGTATTCTTATCTCAGTGGAGTATCTTATTCCAGGATTTTTTTTTTTTTTTTGAAAATTCAAACAGCAGGTAGTGAGCAAAGATTTTTCAATTCTTGGGAGCTCTGACTACAGGCTTGTATTTGCAACTAAGAGCATGTCTGAAGTGTTTGAAAAGACAAATCTCCCAGAATTGATATTACTACCTGCCTGGAAAATGCCTTTTGACCCTTCAGGATTCAGGAGTCCCTTCCAAGTATTTCTTATCCCATAACATAGTCAAGTTGTTACCCTATTTCAAGGACTTTGTTATTTATTATTGTGTAATATTTTCCCCTTTGGGAATTGACTTGAGACCCAGCTTCTCAGTTACCCAAGGAAACACATAATGTTTCCTTTATAGCTCCTTCCCTACTCTTTTCTCCTATACCAGTGTTCTCAAGCTTGGTCGTTGACCATATTTATCATACTTGGCCATAAAAGTCTAGAGCTCTATTAAAAAATAAATTCTTCAGAAGATGGTGAAGCTTTTCTAAGGAGTGAAAACAGCTTAAAAATGAGCAGTGAAAATATCCTCGGAGTAAGCATATAATTTCCCAAAGGGACTACTTTCCAAGGTCTTTTTATTTGAGTACACAAATTCTGCCTTGTGTTTCCCAAGTAACCAGCCATCACATCTGCCAGGTGTTAGGTTGAAATGCCAGACTTTCCCCCACCTGTAGTTTCTTTTTCTCCCTGCCTACCCTTCAGGACTCAGCTTAGTAGTCTTTTTGTGGGAAACCTCCCCTGGTCCTCTCTGTTTATGAGACCCATGTTCCTGTAGGGCCCTCTGCGTACTTCAGACTTACGAGTGTGTGTAATAACTTCATCTTTTTCATCACAGACTCTGAATTTTTTAAAATATGGTTTCATGGTTACTTTTTTTAATTGACAAAAGTTCTATGTTTATTATGTAAAATTTTGTTTTGAAGTGTGTGTGTGTATATATATATATATATATATATTGTGGATTGGCTAGTCTGAGATAGTGAAGAGCTGATCAAATGTCTTAAAGAAAAGTTTTTTTGATCCATCTGTCTGGAGCCCTCAGTTCTACTGGGAGCTTGAATGGAGCGAGCCCTCAGGCAGTTCAGTGGAGCCCACCGGGGGCCCCTGAGGTGGGTGAGACCTAGCTGTTGGAAGGACCCCTTTATCTTTGACCCTGTGATCAGCCTGTGGAGTTGCTGTCTCAGTACTGGGAACCTCCCAGGCTCTCTTCCTGTGCTCTCCCTGACCCAGGAGCTCAAGCTGCCTTCTAGTACTTTTTGCTTCTTTTGTTCACAGAGAATTTCTTATCATTTTTATCACATTGAGGGTTTGCTTTCATGACTAATTTCAGGAAACCAGTTTTATTTTGCCTCTCCTTCCTAAGAGGAAAAGTCTGAGTTTATTTCTTTTCCTTACGACTTGGAGGTCCAGTTCAAAAGGCAGCATTCCTCCGGGTCGGCGATTTGTTGTTAACTCCTCAGTGAAAATGAAATTGTACAGCAGTCAAGCAAAATTGGAGAAAACACCAAGTCTCATTCAAGAACGGGGCAAACGTCGGGCTTCCTTGGGCCCATCTGTCAGCTCATTTCCAATTTTACAAGTGTGTCATGGTAGGAGAGGGAGAGTGAGCAGACTGTTGCTGAACAGAGAAGGATTTCCTGTCATTACTGACAGCTTCTTCTCTGAAACAAGTCTGTATGTCTTAAAAAAGAGAAAAGGAGGCGGGGAAGCCATGTCTAATTGTAGGATCTGGGACAGGTCTGTACTGTGAGCTGAGTTAGGGTTTGGTCTGCCTGGCTGCATCCGTGTGGGGGCCTTTGTGCCTAGGTTTAAGAACAGCTGTGTATGCCCTGAAATTAGACTCATCCTGACTTTCCTAATTTTGCTTAGGCTTCTTATAAAATACTCCGTGTATTAACTAGGGCTCTTTTAGTAGCAAAAAAAAAAAAAAGAGAGAGAGAAAACCCAGCTCAAAATGGCTTAAGCAAAATAAATAAATAAGTCCCTTGACCTGAGAAGTCCAGGGCTCTCCCGTTCATCATGCTTTACTTTATTATTCTAACAGTGCCATTTTAGGACGTGTTTACTTTCTGTCTCTTGGTTCTGTTTTCTTGTTAGATTCACACTTATGCAGCAACCCCTTGAACTTCTAGGCTTAAATCTTCTGATTTTCAAAAATGAAACAAGAGCACCTCTTATTCTAGCAAAGGTCTCATGACAGGTTCTATGTGGGGTTACATTCTTTTCCTGGAACCAGCCCCCAGAACTGTAGGGGATTTGCCACTCTGGCTGTGCCCCCTGAAATAAGAGTGCACCCTTCTCTGCCTGAAACATGTGGGCTAAAACCCTAGAACATAAGTTCCAAGAGAGGAGATATTTTTACTTTGTCAGTTTTGTTCACTGCCATATCCTCAGCACTTAGAAGCATCTCCGGCACATGGTAGCACACACACACAAAAAAAAGTTGGTTGAATGAATGAATGTGTGTCAAGGAAAGCTGATTCTCCCCCTCCCCAAATTGCAGAACTGTTAACAGAGAAGGAAGGTGTCCATGCCAGGCTCTAATAGATGCTTCTCCATTGTACAGGCAGGACAATGAGGACAGTAATAATAGTCATTTTTGTCACATTCTTAAATCTGAATCTACCTCGGGAATAGGAATTGAGACTCTGGAGTTGATGTTGAACCTTCCTGAGTCACACTCGGGACAGCACGATGAGTCGATTTGGAGGTGATGGCAAAATCATTTGGGGTCCGTCCCCTTGACAAATCCAGGAGGAGAGCCACCTCTGTACTCACACCAGCCCTTCTGGTTAGTGTTATCTTGCTTATTCATTCCTCACCAGTTCTGCTTATTTTGTTCACTGTTGTGTTCATGGCCTTGAGGAGACAGCCTAGCACATAATTGGTGCTTGATGAATAGTTAGTGAGTGAATGAGTGAACAAAAAAATATATTGAGTGCTCTCAGTAGCCAACTTTGAATAAAGAACTG